TCAGTGGACCTTCCTCTGTCAGAACAATCTCTCCCTCCCTCTCTGCCTCTCTCTGCTTATTGTGCTGTGAAAGAAAGACAGTGGTGCTAATGTTCCAGACTGAAAGCAACTGAAAGACCCCTCTTAGAGGTGTTGGGCAGGGCTCATTATTGATAATACACTGTAGTGTGTATGTGTGTGTGTAGGGACATGTATGTGGGTGAGCGTGAGTCCTCTTCAGTTTTCTTCAGAGCCTCAGGGGAGGCATAATTGCAGAAATCACTGCAAACAGTACACAGAACATACAGTGACCTTGTCTCTAGTTAGAAACAACATTTTAATGAGAGAACATGTATTGGGTTTTGTGTGACGTTCCGTTGTCAATACAGTCCAAATAGGGGATTTTTTTTTCTGTGTAGTCATTAACCACATCTGATCCTGTCCAAATCCACAGAAATAAAGGGGGAGAGAGCGGTACTTAATCTGTATTCTGTTGTGGATGCCAATCTTTCACTGTCAGTTTCCAACCCAGTAATTTCTGAAAACCTGCCTCGTCTTGTAAAAATCCGTTCAATTCACAACCCCAAAACCCAAAAGAATTCAAAGATTTTTACTTTACTCAAGAGAAGTAACACTTTGTATACTGTACACTCATTTCTTTCTGTCCCAAGGTATCTATAAAAAAGAGCCTGCAACCAAAATATTATCTGCCAGTCACATCCAAATGAATCAAAATTAAGGGAGTCAGATTTGAAATAACTGCAAATAATGTCACAGAATATCTGCAAACATAAAAATGTTGGCACAAGCCAAGGTAGTACTTGTACTTGTTGTGAGTACTTGTTTGGCAGATTATTTCTTTGTTGTAACAATGTTTCTTGGCAATAAATCTTATACTGTTGGAAAGCCTCTTTATTTCCCTTTTTAATGGTGCCACATTTGTAAGGAACATGCATTTGTGGGATGAGCAGCAGAGCTGAGTATGTGGGTTGCGCCCATGAATATTTTGCCAAATCTTCTCTGCCAATGCCAAACAGCTTTTTTTTTTGCTATTGACTCTTGTTTGGTGTTGTTTGGTGGATTGGATGATTGAAGTCTGAAGAAAAGTCTGGGCAGAGAGCCAGGTCTGCCATATCGTCTTGCAAACCTGGACTGCAAATCTGTAGAAGACTGCCTACGGTTCCTAAGTGCTGACAGGATGAGGAAATGGTCTTCTTGGGTGCCGTCTTCTTGGGACGCCCACTTCATGTCTCTGACATCCCCCGTTATATGGAACTTGGCCTTCAGTTTGCAGATGGTACTAGGGCTCACTCCAAAGAATGCCACAACTTGGTTTTGCGGAACACCAGCTTGAAGTTGCCCTATTACACGGGCCCTATCCAGATCAGTCGGTGGCATGCCGATTCTTGGAGCAGACACCAACTGACCACATAGCAGGGCCCATGCTCACAGGTACCTTGGGGTACCAGAAGCTTGGCATTGGAAGAGAAGATTTGGCAAAATATTCATGGGCGCAACCCACATACTCAGCTCTGCTGCTCATCCCACAAATGCATGTTCCTTACAAATGTGGCACCATTAAAAAGGGAAGTAAACAGGCTTTCCAAGTATATAAGATTTATTGCCAAGAAGCATTGTTACAACAAAGAAATAATCTACCAAAGACAATTTTCCCTACTTTTTGTGCTTAGTTTATAGTGAATTAACACACATCCTCCATTGATTTTGTTGTTCAGTAATTGTACATGTAAGATGTAACAGTTGGTGTTTGTGGTCGTCTATTTGTCCCACCCCTCCTCCACTGTGATTGCAAAGTGACAAGCACAGCACTTTACCCAAAGCTGAACATTTTCATCTTTTGCCAACCACAAAAAAACCACCAAACGTGCAGCGCTCACCTCAGAATAGACCTTTAGCCCCTTGTCAAGCTGCTGGTGTTTGGAGCATAGCATAAATACGTGGCACTACCATTGCAATTTAAAAAATACGCTTGCCTCAGGAAAAGCGCTTTGGTGAACATGGCCCCTAATGGAAGCACTATTACTTACTTACTAACAAACTACAAACAGCTAATCTGCAGTTTATGTTTTTGATTCATCATTTGGTCTAGAAATAAGAATTGTGAAAGAGGTGCACCACAATTACCCGTAACCCAAAGTGATGTCATTTTCTGTTTTGTGCAATCAACACCAAACCCAAAGGTACGAAGTTTACAGTTTTGTTAAGACAAGAGAAAGCAGCAAATGTTCTCGTATGTGAAGCTGGAACCATCAAATGTTTTCCATTTTTCTTAAAATATTACGGAATACAATAAATCAATTATCAAATTATTGCGGATTCATTTTCTGTTAATCAACTGATTATTTAACAAATCATTGCAGCTCTACGTAAAATAGTTTTGTTAAACCAACAATTAAAAAAAACCTCAAAAGTATTCAATTTAGTGATATAAAACAGCAAATCCTTGAATTTGGGAGGCCACAGCTGGCAGATGTTTTTGCATTCTCGCAGTGTAAATGTTGATTAATTGACTATTTTTTCAGCCACACTTTAATATCACATGAAATTCCTTTCATACCTTGGGTATTTCACTAACAGCAGCTAGTATTTTCCTTGACAAGTCAAAGTGACTGAAAAACCTTTCCTTCTGTCACTTTTTCTCTCTTTGGCCCCATTGTTCATTCATGCCTCCTGCATGAACAAATCAATCCAACTTAACGTCCTGTCACTCAATGCTGGTGCACTGTCAGATATTATAAAACAGGTAGCGGAATTCGCTCTCTAATAACGTCAAGTGATGAAACTGATGTGAAAATGTATCAGTGGATTCACAGTGAGAAGAGGGCAAGAGGGGTAAGGATCCCTCGTGCTCATGATGGTCGTTCAGGCTTCACTAACTTTTAAAATCCATTTGTGATGCAGCCTGTGAGAGAATGAAAAGTCTCTCTGGCTATTCTAACATTTGTTATTCAGCTGCGTGCTGTCTTAATAAAGGCACAAGGAGTATTAATGTAAAAATTGCCTTTGTCTGTATCTAATACTGGGATTAAACCCAAGTTGTATGAGCCGAAGTAAAGAAATGCTGCAGTGTTATTCCTTGTATTTAACCAATGCCAGACACAAAGCCATGTTTTTGACCTGGTTTAAATAAATGAAAATTAAACAATTCCATATCTTCCCAACCAACAAAATATTTCCTGCCCCTCAAAAGCAGACACATTATACAGAAAACCATGTAATCTAGCATCACTGATACAAACACTGTCAGATTTCATCATCTTCATCATTGTAACCGTCCAGATTTATCAACCACACCTGACCATTCCTCGTCTGAGAGAAAGGCTGTTAATCTGTATTCTGCTGCTGCTCCGATCCTTCACAGACCAAACAGGCAACATGTGGCTGGATCTGGTGGTTTATTTATAACCACTCCAGCAGGCAGCGTAGAAAGGGTTAACCTGCCAATAATTGGCTTCTCCATGGCGCAAAAAACAGACTATTCTGGGTGATAATTTGATAGATGCACATTCAAACTCATTCCCAGTTACAAATATTGAATGCAGGCAGGCACACTCATCGCCCACTGTGGAGGCAACGTCTGTAATGCAACTGTTTGTGTATGGTGTGAATGGAAGTGATTTAAACACCGAAAATAGTGTCAGAGGAAACTGTCAGGAGAATCTGATCAGATCCTCTCAAACCAAGACATGGTGTGTTCTGAAAGATACTTGCTTTCATTTTATCTCAGCTCTCTTTGGGTGCACTGCTCCCCGTCCCAGCTCCACTCTATCACATCTTAAGACACCACTGACACACGCACATGAAAAAAAGAATATTATTGCTATCTTTTATATTTATTTTATTTATAACAAACTAGCACAAGAATACGGATATGCAAATTTGAAAATTTGATCTCCCTTTTTTGTCTTTCTCTTTTTTACTTCTGCCTCCCAGATGGCTTTTGCTCTAATGCCCTCCACACACACTCTACTCCACCATATCCACAAAGCTCCAGGATGGTCTGACACTGACAATCATTCACTGATAAACACATAAAGGTGAACTGCATTGCCAGGACCAGAGGTGGTTACATGTTGCCTATAGGGAGAACCGCCACAGCATCTGTAGCATGTTGTGTAGCGCAGAGGTGAAGTAGCGGCTCAGACGGATGTGAGTCAGGTCATATCCAGTGTCATAATAGATCCGCAGCTCAATGTGAGGCCTGGGTAACAGGATAATGAGTACTCTCCGGAGTCTGGCTGGAAAAACATTTTGAGTTTCATAACACAGGTAAGAAGAGAAAACTGTGTTGGAGAGTCCTCAAAAAAAGAGAGAGACATGCCTGCATTGTGTTGTTGAGCTTCCTGTTGTTCAGCTATGTGAGGCAATTGTGTTTGGTGGAAGTTGAAGACATTCAGTGTGAGTCTCCTTTTGTCCCCAGGATGTAGTGTAGGGCTTAAGATAAATGTGTTATTGAGCCAAGCTGGTAGACACTTGTCTCTCTAACGATTAGATTATTGATGAAGTATTCTTCTTCTAGGCTCTGCGTCTCAGGGAATAACAAGTAGATCCACCATCTCTGGGCAAACCAGGTCTCCAGGGAAAATTTTCATTCTCCTATTATTCAGTGTTATCTCCAAACAAATAAGAAAGAGTTGTGTAGAGACGTGCTGGTGGCAGAGAAGACTCTAACCAGACATTATCATTCTACTTGTCAGCAGAAGCCAAGAGCAAGATGCTTTTTGGGTCCTCCAAAGTCAATACAATTGGATTTAACCCCATGAGCAGCAGACACAGTTTCTGTCATTGTACTCCTACTTAGTGCTTTTCTTTGGTTTGCCTTGATAAAAGACAAATCAAGTCAATACACAGCAACAGGCTGTCGTTTAAGGAAAAATAACAGCATTGATTCAAAGATTGAGGCCAGTCAATTGTTTTGTGATCAAAGCATTTCCTTTCCCCTTCCCTCTCTGTTTGTCCTTGTCTTCTTCCTCTTTCACTCCGCTTCTCACCCTCTCTAGCCGAGAGTATCCAAGGCCATTCAGACGTGTTTTTGGAAGGTGAGCAAACCCCTGGAGGTCAGGCTTCACTGATGTCCTCTGAGACGAAGACTGAAGGAGGAGGAGAAGAGGGAGGTCGTAGAGCCAGCGTGACCAGCGTGGAAAGTGAAATGTCAATTTGCTCCATGGGCCAGCTGGGAAACACCATCGCTAACAGTGAGTGGGAGGGAAGGAGAGAGGCTGAGGAGCTACACTTTTCTGCTTCATTGATTCAGTTATCTCCTGTAGATGAATTCAGGTTCATGAGGTTTCACAGCTCATAGGCTGACCTCTCATTTCCACTTCTAAGCTTGCATACATCTGTGTGTTTCAGTTTCCAGCGGCTGGTGGGGCTCCAAGAGGCTGGATTATGCTTTGTACTGCCCTGATGTGCTGACTGCCTTCCCAACAGTGGCTCTGCCTCACCTTTTTCACGCCTCCTACTGGGAGTCCACTGACGTAGCAGCTTTTGTTCTCCGGCAGGTGGGAAAGCCTTATTGACAGTTTTTTCCCCAGCAAGTTTCCCAGATTGCTTCGTCTAGAAGACAAAGCCCTTTGCAGGGAGAGTAGAAGCTTTGTGAATATAAGTTTCTGAAATTGCTGGCTGGTATCTTAAAAGACTGAACTTGTCAAATCAAATGTGGAGAGGTTCTCTTGGAACGTTGCTTTGGGAGTAGATGAAACAAAGTAACAAAATATGGCACATCTCCAGTCTCTTGTTAAGGCCATAACTTTGCATATGCAGCATTTCTTCTTTGATGTTACATTAGTGGCTTGTTCCAAGTCCATGGCCTCAGGGTATGTTTACTGTCGTTATAACCAAATGGGAGCAGCAGGAATTCACTTGCTGTCACTGCATTATCATTGTGGCTCTTAGTGAGATGCAGTATGAAGTATTTTAAACTGTGTGATTCTGTATATCATAAAAAAAATACCAACAAGAAAGCTGTAGGAGGTAGAAAGTGGATGCATCGGACAGAGGCGGCTGGAAACAGTATAGTCTATTTTTTGTTGCTTTAATATAAAAACAGTTTAGTTTTAGAAACTTTAACAAAAAATAAAATCCAAGGGTGGGAGGCAGCAGTCCCCACACCAGAGGAGCTCCCCTGCTGTTGGCACAGGAGCTCTTAGGCACCTATTTCCCATGCCAGGTGCACCTCACCAGGCAATGTACCTTGTTAGGCAATGTAGCACACCTGGAGAGAGCTACAGGAATGGGAAAAGAGACAACAGCACAGAGAACACATACAGCCGTAACACATAGTGGTGCAGGTAGTTACCAAACTGCACAGACCCACTATAAATTCATAATCTGCACTTGTCTTGACATTTTAAGACAATTTTTTCAGCGTTTTGTCAAATACATTTTCACATTACAGCACATGAGCACATCAAGTGTTGTACATAAGACATGTAAGCAAAACAAGAGGTTAAAAGACAAACAGAGGTAAAAGTCATTGTATAAAAATACATGTCAGAATGGAAATTTGTTTTGCAAATCTAAAAGTAATCCAAAATCCAGTTAATGGCAGCATGTTGTGGTTGACTGAAAGGGGTCCTAGTATTGACCCTTGAAGAACTCCACATGCTATTTTAGTTGATGATACATAATTAATAATAATAATAATTGCTTATAGGTGAGACTTGAACCAACAAGGGCTTCAAGAAAGTCCAAATAAATCCCGATCCTTTTGTATCTTAACATATACCATGTTTTAGATGCTGCATTCTGAGTGACTTCTCAGGTTGTACTCATAGTTTAAGGCACTGGCTTATTGCTGTTTTTTAATTCTGTCACTTGTAGAACAGCTGCTTCTGTTTAATGGTGTCTTCTTGCTTCACAACAACACAGCATAGATGCCGCTGCTAAGCTGCTTGAGGGCTCCTTCTGCACAGATGACACCTTGAATATGTTATAACCAGAAGTCTGGCTGCAAGCCAAGAATGTCATCAACACCCCTTCTAACTGTCCATCTAACTGTGGACTGAGCCAGCAATAACAAATGAGTAATCTATATATAGATTTACCCAAGCATTTTTGCCATAAATGTCGTTTCAAGACATCTCAAAGTATGCTGAGCAAGAATCCAGTGCTGAGTCATGACGTGGATTTACAGCTTAGAAGGCACTACATGAAATGAAGCAGTGGTCTCCAGCCTTTTTCCTAAAGGGACCCCTTTTCTGTCATTTTGAAAAATTCAATGTTTTCCTCTCCCTGACACTTTACTATTGTTCTGCTGGCTCCTTGGTTGTTTTAACTGTGTACTTTTTAATGGAAGATTAGGCTGTTACACAGAGAGTAAAGACTCTGTCAGTATAGTTTGTGTTCAGGTCTTCACAGTGCCCTTATCCCTTGAGATTTCTTTAAACAAAGAAATCAATTTAGTTCTTTTCACAGAAATTAATGAAATGCTGAGATACAGGTCGACTGTATAACTTTTAAAAGGTTTATGTTTTTTTAATAAAGAAGGTCTCACAACACCTCTTGAATCTTTGATGAACCCCAGTGTGGGTCAGGACCACTAGATTGGGAACCAGTGATATTAGGGTCTATTTTTGCATTGATTTAGCCTTGACAAGTAATGGCCAAAATTGTGGGAATTGTTAGGTGGTCTACAAAGGGATGGATCACTAGCACACTTTATCTTTTGTGTAGATGTTTAGAATTCATCTTACACCCCACAACTGAGCCTCAGACAAGTGGTAGCCATTATATCCGACTTCTTTGATTATGCAGTGTAACAGATCAGACCAGGATTTTGTGATTTGGTCTGGTCTACACATAAATGTAGAAGGGCATGACTAGAATCCGCAAAAATCAGAAATTAAATGTGGTGCTAAATCTTTTTATGGTCGGTAAAGATTTTAAAGGTCTGGAAAAAGTGTTCTTGGCTTCAGTTAAGCATCCAGGCATTTCCATTTCTCTGTCATCACCTCTTTAGTTGAGGGGACCCAAACTTTGATCAGAAGAGTCTCTTATAGTGCCACCAGTGCATATACATTATGTCTGAGTTGGACTTAAACTGTGAGCTGTGGCAGTTATTGCTTCACCTACTGAGCTGCCCATTAATGTACTGAGTGATTGCGTTTTTGTGCATCTGTGGTAATTACACGCATGTTTCTCAAATGCTCAGACAACAACGAAGAGCAGGACAAAAACAATAACAGAATAATACAAGAGTATCACGTCATGTCCTGATAAAAGCCCCTGGAAACACCGTCTTTGAACTTGATCATTAGAAAGCAGAGCTCCCGGAGAGAGAAGAAGAAAAAAAAAAAAGAACTTTTTTTTCCACCCTGCCACTGTCTGCCGCAGCATGTCTTCTTTGTGAGGAAACGTGAGGGGAATATGGAGAGCACATCAGAAAAAAAGAAGTGCTATCGACGCCATCAGGAAGCTAATAAACTCAAGATCATCATTTTGGTTCAGTGGTTTTCAGCTCCACTCGATGCCGAGTCATATTAAAGGATCGTCATGGAATTTAAGGGCTGCACAGAAAATAATTTGTTAAAGCTGAATCATTTACTCTTCTCACAGTCCAGCCTCAGTAAGACTATGTTTTAAGATGTCATGAAACATGGAGCCTTTCTACGTCAAACAGTCAGGAATTACATGCATGGCTTCTTTTAAGAAGTGCACGATAGCTTTAATGAAGTACTCCAAATCACCCCTTCGCTCTTAATCTGCTCTTGTCACAAAAGGTTTCCATTACAACTTGTGATTTATCATCCCTAAACATAATTTAGGATTTATTTTCAGGGCTTCTAATGGTATATCAAGGCCTGTTCCTAACGGACCTATAGCTTGGCCTCTGGTGTCACTGCTTGAAGCTTTCTCGAGAACTGCTCATCCCAACAATTTCACACTCGACACTGCATCTTTGTGTCCTGAGCAATAAACCTGCCATGACATAGTTGCGTCTCCTAACAATGCTAGAATGTATGTTATTTGGTAACAGCTAGCTATATGGGACCAGCTATTCCCGGGAACAAAAGTGTTCGTTGGGAAAGTTACATCGCTGATGCTTGAAATCTTTTAGTTTGCTACAAAGTAATCTCTGGTCTCTCTTTCTCCATCTGTTATTGAATGTCTTATAGCGAATGACGGAACGAAAGGTGTACCCAGATTGCTGTTTGGCGGTGTAACAGTTCAGGCTGTTCGTATGTATAGGCTACTTACGAATAGTAAAGCACTACAATTTGTATATGACCCACATAATCAGGAGCCAGTAATTTGTGTGTAACCCACGTAATTGGGAAGGCTTCAATCACATGACTAAGGCTCTGACGGGAGTAAAGAAGGAAGTAGTTTAAAGAGCAAAAGTCTGCATTAGAAGGCAGGTTGGGGTGGTGGATGGGTTAAACAAACACAATACATGCGCCTAGGTACTGTGAGTTATTTTAAGGTCAGGACATCATCAGCCAACCATTTTCCTTTTCCTAAACCTAACCTACATACCTGAGCTTGTCTAAACTTAAGCTACATAACTTAACATTAAGTATGTAACATGACGACGCCATTTGTAGGGCACCAATTTACCAGAGAGAATATTTAAGGACGGACAGAGTCTCCTCCCATTTTAATTCGATGTATTACTCTTCATTGCATCAAAGTGCAGGAAGCACACTGGTGAGACTATGTTATGGTTTCAAAGGCTTGTGTGTGGAACTGCCTGCTCTTATATACACATGTTTATTAACAGCTCATGCGATGCGACTGTGTGAAGACCCATGAAGCAGACAATTTGGACTCTGCGCCGTTCTCGCCCTCCAGCCCACGGGAAAAATGGCTCAGAAGGAGGACACATGTCAAACTGAGGGTAATTAATTATTTGTTGGTTTATTTTGTATAAATATAGTTTTGCCCCAGTTCGCTCTGCTGACAGAAATTTGAAATTATGGCTACTCAGTTAACTTTCAGAAGCTCATTTTTAAACTTTATGGGAACAAATTCATGCATTTTTCAACAAAGCACTTTGGCTTAGACACCAGATATTACACAACCTGGAATATTGTCTCCAAGGTGCCTCTCATTCTCAGAAATACACCCAGTTAACTACTCACCCACACAAGCACGCACGCACGCACGCACGCACACACACACACACACAGAGCAGATTTTGTTCTTCTGCTGCAATGGTTTTGTATTCATTCAGACTAAAAATACAGTCATCACTAACTGCTGAGGTTGTAGTGCTTTAGCGCTGAGGACTCTGTGAACTGTTCATAACCTGAAAAAATTTAAATGCTCCCACACTTTCACCTTGAAGCACTGCAGCAGGCAGACACACACAGCTACTTGAGGCTCCTGAGTCCTGCAGAGTGGAACAATCAAGGTCACATTGCTATCCATCAAGTGCTCCTTTTATCTGCCATTTCCTAAAGACAAGAATTTAGTGACTGCTTGCTTTTCACAAGGCTATAAATAGAACTATGCAACCAGAGCACCATGGAAACATATCTAAATTTGAGCCTGTGAAGCTCTTCTTGTTTCAGTGTCATCTTGTTCATGCCTCACCTTGGCCCAGGGATGTGTTTCTAATGTAAGTGCTCAAAGAAAGCAGCTCTGAAAAAAGTTGCCACGTCCTGAATACGATCCACCATATGGAGATCTGATGCTGCTCTGTGCTGAATCTGCTGCAGAATGGTGCTATTCAGAGAGACTTGGCATCTATTTCTGATCTTCCTTGACTTAGTAAGAGGTGTTTGTCACAGCTGGAGAGGGACCATGAGTGTGGCTTTTATTTCTTGTACATGCTGCTCTTTCACAGGAGGGGTCTGACTCTCTAACCCATCTCTTCCTCACGTACTCTGTAAGTGGATGGTGGTACTGAGGCACATGTAGCTTTCACATATGACCACACAGTGAGTACCTAGTGAACTGTGTCGAGGAAATTTAGCTAGACATTGACCAGTGTCAGGCCTCCTCATGTCACACAGCAGCTGTGATGTTTTATGTATTGTATGCTGTGTGTGTGTGTGTGTGCCCAGGTGTGCATGCATGGTGCCCTTACTCTGCATGCTTGCCATCGCTGGATCAGTAGGACCTCGTGCTGGCAAATAATTAATTGTTGACAAAGCTAATGCAGAATAACAGCTGGAAATGTTGAACTTCCTTGTTAGATGTCACATCCTCTAGATCAATTATCATTAACCGATGTGGTGAAACAAGAAAATACAACCACAACACGCTTGATCGCATCAGCACTTAGCGATATTTATTGAAATTTGCAGATGCTCCATTATCTTTCACTGAGTGCTGTCAATAAACAGAAGTGTGTTTTCGAGTAAACAAAATGTCATAACAGGCTCTCACTCCTGATAAAAATCACTGCAACAAAGACTTAATCAACCAAACACATCTATTGCTGTTTCTTTTGTTTAGACATGACGCAGGTTTTTCTGTTATAGCATGTTTATATGAGCTTGCATTTCATATTTTAAAAAGCAAACATTTTATCTCTACTTGAACATAAATCCCTCACAAGCTTGTGAAGGAAACACTATCTTTTATCACACCACCTACAGGGGAAAAAAAAGAAGAAAAAAAAGAAAACACTTTTCGAGTTGTCTAACTATTTAGAAGAAAAGCAGGGTGTTGAAAAAGGGCATGTGTGCCGAGCAAAATTCTCCAGGATAAAGTAAAGGTTATAGAAATGGCAGAGGAGTAGGAAGCAGAATTTAAATTTCTGTCATGGTGGCCCACAACAGAGTGTGAGAATTCTACATTAGTGTGCTTATAATATGCTATTAAAATGCAACCAACTCAGCAAGAAGAGATTTAGGGATTAATGTTTCTCTGCCGGCTCACTTGGAGGTACTCACTGAATGTGGAGAAAAGAACAAGACAAGGACGCTTAATGTAGAGAGGTAACACTCTTTTCTGGAAGGTCCCACAGCGCATACACCAGAAACATTCGGCTGGGTATTGAAATCTGGACATGCAACACATCAAAGCCGGGGACACTTTAGCCTGTGCTGTATGTTGTAAGAGCTTGCAAAAACAGGTCATACAAGGACAAACACCAGCTGTGATTTTAATGGGACTACACTGTAGTTCAGGCAGGCACAGAGCACATTTTGTAGCTACATGTTCTACACACTCTCTGATTGTTCACGTTCACATTTTAGGTTGTCCGTATCAAGTGCTTTTACCAGTGTAATGCTCGTCACTTTCCCAGCCTCTTGCTCTGTTACATTTAGTTCTATGTGAATTATGAATGGTTCTTTAGACCCTTTATAAACTAAATATTTGGCCACTTGGCAGACACAAGCTGTAAACACAGCATATACATGCTATCACCTTAAAGTTTATGTGGTTAATTTGTGAGCACTTGTTACAGTTGTCTATATACACAATAATTTGATATGGAGCAACATCAGCTTCATTCAGAGTTGTGTTTCTGGCCACCTGGAATATGTAAGTCCAATATTAATTCTCTTTTAAGTTTGTTTTTTTCTACTCTCCATCAACTTCTGCGGGGAACATCTGGCCCTTTAGATGCAAATGCTCCAATATGTTCATAAATTAGTTGCTAACTTTGAGTGTGATTTGCTGATATTTCAGGCAGGTAGCACTGGGTAGGGTTTTATAGTTTTTTCACTGAATAAGCTGCTTGCTACATCTGATACGATGTGATACGATACGATACAATACGATACGATACAAAATTATATGATACGATGCAATATCTTTAGTGTCCCCTAAAGGAAATTTGTTCTGGACTCCCTCCTGCAGTTCCACAGAAGATAACATCATACATACTAGTGTCTAGTGATAATTCTCCATGGGGTTATCACTACAAGCGATCCCTTTATTACACAGTCATTGATCCATTGTTTATATTAACATGGGAATTATTGACTTTATTTCAAACCAAAAGCTTTCTCAGGTTTGACAATTGAAGTTAATTCTTGACCTTGGGATCTAAAACAGATAGTTTAGATTTTTTGAAATGGGGTTTTATGAGATACTTATCCAAACTCAATGTATTACCTGCCGTAGATGGCAGTTGGCACGCCCCCAGTTTGGAGAAGCAGACAGGAGCACAACCATAGAAGCTCTGCAATGTACTGCTGAGGATGGGGGCAGTAGCAAAATGTATTTTAGCCACCTAAAAAAAAAATCTATATCAATTTAGTGTAAGCTTATAATATTTTCACTGCTTTACCTTGCCATCAGACAGCCCTTTTCAACAGGGAACTGAGGCTGATATCTCTGCTTTCTTTAAAGCCACCAGACCCTTTGACAAAGACAGTTATTTTACTTCACAGAACATGTGAGATGCCTATACACCACTACCTCAGTTGGTTAGATTGTTTGTGTTACTGTGTGACTGACATGTTTTAAAAGTTAAGTTTGGACTAAGCTGTAGACCAGCAGCATACATACATACATATATTCATACAACCCCCCTCAAAAAAACAAACTATCCCTTTAATGGTTGAGGGAGAAAAATCTCAACTGAAAGTCCATTTTTTCAGAGCTGTATCTGACAGTCTTCATCAGTAAACACAAAGCTTTGTATCAAAGCTTTACATGAGCAGCAACAAAGGGAAAACCTTGACCACAGTGTCATGACTGAACTGTGTTCTGTGCTCTTTCTTGTTATCGATTGTAGAACGTTACTGCCAACCACAGGGTGAATGACATCATTGCCACCGAGGATGGGCCTCAAACTCTGGTTGGTCGCTTCATGTACGGCCCCTTGGACATGGTTACTCTGACTGGAGAAAAGGTGAAAAGGAGCGACATGATTGTTACTACAGATATACATTACATTAGTGTATTAAAGACTGACCTTATCCTTCAACCTACTGACCCACCCTGCCTCTCTTAGGTGGACATCTTGCTAATGACACAACCTCAGTCTGGCCGCTGGGTGCACTTTGACACAGAGGTGACCAACAGCAGCGGCAGAGTCACATACACTATACCCAAGAGCAAGAAGCTCGGCCTGGGAGTCTACCCTATTAAAATGGTGGTGAAGTAAGCATCCAAGCCCCTTACAGACAGAGTGCTATATAATCAAACAAGATACAACGAAAATGAGAGAATCATAGAATTAAGCCCTATATTTGTGCCTTGTATTGGTGTGTGAGCTTCTAGCAAGAGAGCGCAGTATAGAGGGCTTTGAAGGGAGTAACAAACGTGCAGCAAATGCAGTTTCTCTCCCTTTTTCTATCTCAAGGGGCGATCAAACAAGCGCAGAGGCCTACCTGACTGTGTTGCCACGGGGCATGGAGTGTGTGGTCTTCAGCATCGATGGCTCTTTCGCTGCTAGTGTGTCAATCATGGGCAGTGACCCCAAGGTCCGCCCCGGAGCTGTCGATGTCGTCAGGTAACTAGAAATAGCCTCTGTGTGTATGTGTGTGTGTGTGTGTGTGTGTGTGTGTGTGTGTGTGCCTGTGTAAATGAAATTCCTCTCCTCAAAGAATGACGCACAGGTTCAGATGAGTTGGCACACATTTAAAGCATTTAAGTGCATCCTTTCCATTATGATCAAAATGAAAGACTCTGATGTGTGTTTGATGTTGTGTATTAACATGCAGGCATTGGCAGGACCTTGGATATTTGATCATCTACATCACAGGCCGCCCTGACATGCAGAAGCAGCGCGTTGTATCCTGGCTCTCGCAACACAATTTTCCCCATGGGATGATCTTCTTCTCTGAAGGCCTGGTTCATGATCCCCTGCGGCAAAAGACCATCTTCCTCAAGAACCTCATACAAGATGTACGAGACAAACCATCATTAACTGACATTAACTGGGCACTTTGGGGTTTTTTGCACTGCATGTGAAACATTTTGTTCTGCACCCTACAGTTATCTCCATCTCTCTCCTCTGCAACAATCCTTTGCAAGTCCACAGTGTTGTATCCTGCCACACACATCTCTGACTGATTATCTCCTCTCTCCCCAGTGTCACATTAAGATCAACTCTGCTTACGGTTCCATGAAGGACATCTCTGTTTACAACATGCTCGGCCTCTGCCCCTCGCAGATTTATATCGTCGGCAGACCTTCAAAGAAATACCAAAATCAGTGCCAGGTAGTTCAGTTTGTGTCTTTCACCTCTTTCTCAAGAACCTTTTCGTGGTGTTTCTCTGTGCCTATTTCACTTGAAAGGTTTTTCTCATTTACTTTAATCTTCTTACCCCTTTCTCTCTTTTTTTTCTAACCCTCTAACTGTGGGTTATATGCAGTTCCTGAGCGAGGGCTATGCAGCGCACCTCTCCACCCTTCAGTTTGGGCACAGAGCTAGACCCAAGAAATCCCCTTCGGTTCGTATGGTCCTAAGGAAGGGCTCCTTCGGTCTCTCTGCGAAGCCTGACTTCCTGTGTAAGCGCACCCATCTGCGCAGGACCATGTCAGTGCAACAGCCCGACCCACCATGCACGCCCAATCCCAAGCCTGAGCGAGCCCAGAGCCAACCAGAGTCAGATAAGGACCACACGGGAGGAGGAGGAGGTGGAGGTGGAGGAGGGGGTGGAGGAGGTGGTGGAGGAGGAGGTGGAGGACAAGGCCCATGGGGACGGCCCTCCATACATCGTGGCGACACCACTCCCTGACGTCAACAAAGAGATGGGAGGATTGCGGGAGGATAGAAGAGGAGAACAAAGGGGTCTTAGTGTCCAGGGCCAAGGTGACATCTTATTCTTTAGATATGGTATATTTCAGGTTATAACAACTTCTGTCTTGTGTGTGTGTGTGTGTGTGTGAGTGTGTATGTATGTGCGCATTTATTGTGTTTTAAACACATATTGACAAGTACAATAACCAGAAAAGAACAACAACAAAGAAGGGGTTAAATCATCCAAGTCTATATCCATCCATGCCCTTATTGTCCTTGGGCGTGCTCTATTCATTGTAGCTGTTGTACATACCAAGTCTTTAAGTCCAGAATCCAGTATGACCGCAAAGAGAGAATCGGAGTCTCCCTCATACTTGTCCCTAATAAAACAGAAAGTATAGGAAGTAACTAGATGCATTTTCTAACAGTGTGTCGTATTTTTGTAGTTTTTGAACTGTACTTAATAATAATTCTTTTGTACTCCCTCCCAAGAAGTAAACAGAAACAGTCAGACAAGCATACACATGCTTCAGGCTGAGAAAAGATATGTAAACAGAAAGTTTTACCCAAAATACCTGTTGTAAACATTGTAGTCAGTCAATTCAGATCAAATTCCTTACAGACTTAGTTCAATATTCAACTTTGACCTCACAGAATGCTGTAGTTGTGTGCACGGACAGTTTTATTACTGATGTTTAAGATGTGCTTGCTTTCACTTTTATTTGTCTAGATAATCTGGATGAACTATTTGCTTCTACACAACATGACAGATAATTTGTTTCTTGCATCTCTGGACTTTAGTCTGATCATTATCTCAGAATCAACATGCTGTCCTTCACAATTGGTGTAGGTCTGCGACAGACAGACAGAGAAGTGTGAGGCTCTGATGGGCTGTAAATTCCAAAATGAGGCAATAAGGCACATTATTTAGTTTTGTAAATAATATTTGAAGGATGGTGTGCATTATATTTTTTTTTTTTAAATTTACTTAATTTTAATTTTATATACTTTATTAATCTCCCTGAGGGGAAATTCAATTAATAAAGTATATAAAATTAAAATTAATAAAAAAAATTTAAAAAGCACATATGGGAAAGATTAGTATTGCACTTTCATTAAGTTGGGTGACTTCGAGTTGGGGGAAGTAAGAGACAGATTTATAGAAAAATGGTCAAAATCAAAGCAGCAGATGCTAAGGTATCCTGCATTTTAGTCGCTATGGGTCAAGCTCCAAAACAGCAGACTTTTTTCAGATTTTAGAAAGCTTTCCCATAGAGCCACAAATACATTATCCGACTGTTTTCACAGACTGAGGAGAGCATCTCATGATGGGTAATCTAACCTCTATGTGCCCCTTTTTTTACATATACATTTATTTACAATTTATAAAATACCAGAGCAGAGTAATGAGATGCATCAGTCCCGCAATTTTTGTTGGAACAAAATCAATTAGTCTCCTGATTCACTGTTATCATTAATCATGCACAGGCTTTATCAGACAGCCTGTGATAAGCATTACTTAAGAGCATCAACTTGGTAAACATTGTAAGAATCCATTTCCTTGAATTGCTGCAACACCTGAGAAGTCATGTTGTTATTGTTTATCAGTTAGTGTAGAATAATGCAGCCTTTCACCTTTTATTTCACTGCGTTTAAGAGCCTTTAAGAGCTCGAGGCTCGCAAAACTTTGACATAAACACAGATTGATTTTGCTTTGCTACTGTTGAGCTCCGGCAAAGTCAATAAATGTCCACCTTGATTAGATTATGTTCTTTGATGTATCTGATACATAACGTTCGGTTACATTGTAACCTTGGTTCTCTGAGTGAGGAGATTATCTCCCCACCCAGTAGTTATATCATAACTATGGGAGGTATTCCCATCTGGGGTAATTGACGTGGAAAATTAATAATCTTTGAGACACACCACTTTACGCGGTCGGCATGCGCCAGGCTATGAAAGCCCTTCCTTGCGCATGCACCCATTAATTGACATTGATTGGAACGGGTATCGAGCGGCCTTGAGCCTGGGGAGTTAATCTCCTCACTCAGAGAACCAAGGTGACAGTGTAACCATACACTCTCTCCATACATTCTCTATTGTATCGAAATTATCTCCCCACGCTGTAGTTATATCATAACTATGGGAACCCTTTAAGACACACCGCGAGGGGCCCCAGGAGACAGCAGATGCAGGTCCACAAGTGCTCCCCCTAGTATTCCAGTGAGGCATCCCCGCCACCAGATGCATTAACAACAGAAAATACGCAATAGGTGTGTATATACGCAAACAAAACGAAATGCTGTGTGCCACTGTACCGAGGCCCAGGCGCCAGGCTGATGTCACTGCCATGAGAAAAAAACACTTAAAGAGACAGCAACTTAATGCTGACTGACTCCAGAGGCTCAAAAGGTTCCTGCTGCAGGGCAACCAACACCTGACCCAGGTCCCACAATGGAATGGCCAGCCTCCTGGTGCGCAGTGCAAGCCTCTGCACACCCTTCAGGAACTGAGAGATGAGGCTGCAGTCACTACCTGCAAGTCTATAATCCCCTGTATGAGCAGCCTTGATACTGTAGCTGCCACCATGCCTCTAAGGGTTGAAGGTGATTTTACCATCTCAAGATGCTCCTGCAGGTACCGGAACACCTATGGGGCTGCACATCTCAGTGCATCGATCTGGTTAGTTGTGCACCATGATGCAAAGAGCTCCCAGTGGTAAGAGTATGCAGACCTCGTAGACAGTGCCCGAGCACTCTGCATGATCTGAAATACTGACTGTGCAAGTCCCAAGCTTAGCAGACCGGCCCTCTCAGGGCCTCTCAAGTTTGATCCCCTGTGGAAAGGGATGGAGCAGGGCCCCCTGCACCTGACTCAGAAGGTCCCAATGGACAGGGAGCTCCCATGGCCTCCCAGCCAGGAGAGGCACCACGTCCGAGAACCATGTCATGTGTGGCCACTTCGGTGCCACCAGAATTACCTGCAGTTCCTCCTTCCAAACTCTTTGCAGCAGATTTGAAACAAGAGTGATATATACAGCAGCAGCAGCAGATGTATACAGCAGGCCTTGAGGCCACTGGTGTGCCAGTGGCAATGGGCATTGTCCCTGGTTGCGAACAGGTCAGCCACTGCTCTGCTGAAGCGGTGCCAGATCTCCCTGACCTCCAGTCCCCTGGACTTGGGCCTCCCCTGGAGAGTAGGTCCGCCCCCTGGTTCACCAATCCAGGCCCGTGCATAGCCCTGATGGACAGGAACCGTGTCCATGCTCAGGTCCACAGCCTGTGTGCTATTCTGCAGAGGTTTGGGGAGCACAGGCCCCCTTACCTGTTGACATATGCTGCTGCCACAGGACTGTTGGTTCTTACCAGCACGTGACGGCCTTGCAGACTCGGGAGAAAATGGTGGAGGGCCAGGGCTCTCAGTTCTAGAGCACTGACAGGGCTCAACAATAAGGATTGCCCGATTGCCCGGGGCAAGTAAAACTCACGGTCGGGCATGTAAACTAACAACTCACTTGCCCGATCGGGCAAGTTGCTAAAAATAGTAAAAGTTAATAACTAATTGATAAAATAAATGTATTTTAAAACGTGCTCTTCTGCTCTGATGCAGCGGTCTCTCTGCCTGAAGTCACAGGCACAGCTGTGTAATGTCCTGCCCACAGCCCCCATTGATATTATTTTGCGCGACGGACGCTTCATATAATAACATAACAATATACTATTTATGGTGTTATGCCATCGTGTCATTTCTGTCTCTACATGGTCACGCGTTAACAATTCTCCTCTGCTCTCTGTATCTCGCACGGCGGAGTTCCGCCACACACACAGGTGAGCACGCTAGAGCGGCTCGGGCCGCATTTTCCTGACCAAACCTGACCCCGAGCCCGGTGCAGTTGTCAGCTGACAAAGTTATTGAAATGGACAGTGTGTAAATAACCAACAGACTGCTGTTACGCACAGACAAACATGCTGCTCGCACAGCAGCGTAGCACGGCACTCATGCAGAGCTTGTGTTGCGTTCAGGTGTTGTCACGTAAATAACAACTTTCAAAACTTAAATAGGTCATAGCACAAAACAGCAGCATGTCAAGTGACTTTTTACTTTATTATATTCAATAAAATTGTATGTTCCTAAATCTTGAGACACCTCATATGTAAGCTAGACAGACATTTCACCTGCTCATTACTGTGCACAAATGTACTGTATGTACTTAGTCCTAAAGAGCCCTTCTGGTGCCAGTAGATACATAGAAACATCCCAGCAGGCTGTGCTTTGCAAGCATACAAAAAAGTTTCACGCATGTGAAAATTATTTTTCATGCGTGTGCTTCACCTCTGCTGCTACAACTCCATCCTAGGGGAAACACTGCTGTGTGCGTTTTGTGCAACAGGTGGATGTGGTAGTCTACTGGTAGAGTAGAGAGAGAGCTAAGTAGCGTTGAAGTAGAGTAGAGCAGGGCAGAGAGATGGAAGCAAAATATATTAAACCCGGTGTTAATACAGCAGAACTGGAGAGAGGGGTGAAAAATAAATAGAGGTGGGCATGGCTCAAGTAGGGCGCAAAATTATAGACGGAGAACGATTGACAAATTTTTCACTTTAAGCCCTTTTTGTGTAGGAATTAAGCTACAATACATGACATATGTTGTTTTAATTAATAAATACAGTGTGAATAAAGATTATATAACATAAAAATAACTGCAGTCTTTGTTAATTGATAGCCGCTTAAATTAAACAATTTTTATAGGGCAAGTAAAAACTGACTTTGGGCAAGTGAAAAAAAACCTTAGCGTTGAACCCTGATTGATATGCTCGCCCTTCCAGCAGGTGCTCCAGACCCCACTTGGTGCCCTTGCCCTCTTGGAGTGTGCCCCACCCCTCCGGGGACACATCTGTAGAGAGTATACCAAGCATACTCCCCAAAATGTTAGTTGGGTCCTGCCACCACCTGAGGTCCACACCAAGCTGCACGGTGACAAGCACTACTGTCTCTGTGGACAGAGCCCCAGGCCGAAGAGATGCCTCTGGACTGGACACGTGTAGAAGAGCCAATGGCACCACTTGTACCGAGGCTGCAATAAGACCCAAGAGGTGGAGACACAGCCGCCACATGACCGTGGCACCCAGCCGAAAATGAGAGAGGCAGGTCCTGATTGAAACCTGCCTCTCCTGTGACAACATCACCAACCCAGCTCTGGCATCCAGCCATATGCCTAGAAACTGGGTGGCCTGTGCAGGCTGGAGACTGCACTTTTTCTCGTTGATGCACAGCTCCAGACACTGAATGTGATCCAACAGCACAGACACATGATGTGCAGACTCTGTCTCTGCACATATTAGCCGGTCGTCTAAATAGTTAAGTATCCTGAGACTCTGCTGCTACAGAGGCCCCAAGAGTACATCCATGCACCTGGTGAAGGTGTGGGGTGCCAGTGAGATGCAGAAGGGGAGGACACAGAGTTTGAAGGTTTTTCCTGCAAAGGCAAACCTGAGAAACCTCCCGTGCCCCTCCCAGATTGGGATTTGAAAATTGGTGTCCTTTAGGTCGACGGTTGCAGACCAGTCACCTACCTGGACAGCCTGCTTGACCCTGGACACGGTCAACATTTTGCACTTCAGGGGCCTGAGGAACTTGTTCAGCTCCCTGAGGTCTAAGACAGGCCTGAGCGTCCTGTCCCGCTTCGGAACAAGAAAATAGTGGAGATAAAACCCTGCCATGAAAGTGAAAATTTCAGAGTGCAAGACCTCCCTGTGCTTGTGGTCTGCAATAATGGAAAATGCAGCCACCCTCATCAGAGAAGGAGTGCTACGGAACAGTAAACGATACCCCTGGGTCATTGTTGAAACAACCCAGGCAGGCAGGCAGACAGCCTGCTGCCCCCCGACTAAGTCAGGCTCGAGCGAGCTGCTATGCTTCAACCGTGCGTAAACAGACAGCTGCAATACATGAATATGGCACCGCTTTTAACTGCTATATTCCTTATTGTCAAAAAGAAGAAACAGCATTTTGCTATCCTCGAGAGGGACCCGCGAAGGCCAGCTCTCCAACCTAGACGAAGATAAGTGGACAAAACACTAAACTCCTCTCTTTTCTTTCTGCTCTCACGCTGACTCCAACAGGTGGAAATCAATGAATCAGTGGGTGCATGCGCAAGGTGAGGCTTTTATTGCCTGGTGCATGCCGGCCATGGAAAGTGGTGTGTCAATATTCCACGTTGATTACCCGAGATGGGGGTAATTCCCATAGTTATGATATAACTACTGGGTGGGGAGATAATCTCGATACGATAGAGAACAGTCTTTACACTTGTAGTAGAAGATGCATTATTATTTTTTATCAGTGAACGATGTCGAAGAGCACAAAGGAAAGAAGATAAAAAAACAGACAGGAACAGTGAAAGAAGCCAAGCAGTAAAGTAACAATCTTACTTTATATTCCTGTGGCAACCTGAGTAAGAGATGCTATTATTAGCTGCAGCAGAGTCCTAGGAGGACCGAATGTAAATTTGCCTGTGATTATGATTATGCGAGTACTGATGATCTACTGCAATGTCCTACCTCACTTTAAATCCAATCTTTTCTAGATTTGGAAATATTGTCAGTGCAATTATGGAAATTAGACAGATATACTGATACAGAACATGCAAACGCTAATCAGTGTGTTAACGGAGAGACTGCACTAATTTTCCTCTTTCATTTGACAGTGTCACCTCTACCTACTCTACATGTACATTGGATCCCCTGCTGGTGTCCCTCGCAGCTCAGCTTTACCTCCTGCTTGGCCCTCTACACTTCTCCACCTGTTCGACCCTTTTTTCGTGGTGGATTTAGTCTTTGTGCCTGAACATTTTAAGCAGTTGCCGGAGGATGGCAATGATTTTTGTGAATGTCTGTGTCAAGCTAAAATTGTGTCTAATTGTAAAATCAAAAGAATGTACTTCACATAACGGATATACACACATACACACACTTGAGAGGATGAAAAATGTGACGACGGTGGTGACTTTGACCCTGTTGACACTTTGCAGCAGATCACCAGAAGCATTCAGACTGCTGTGTTGACAGGTGGTCACGTTGACTGACTCCTGCACTAAACCTCCACCGATGTAAATACTCAACACTCATCATCGCTGTGTGGGCTTGGGGACACAGACGCACTGTGACATTTAGGTTCAAGCTGTACATGAGCTCTATGATCTGGCGCCCAAATGAGCCGACCTCGCCAAACGCCAGCCTCTGCCTCCATTTCACTCCCACTGTTAGATATCTCCCTTGCGTTGTGGCTGGCTTACTACACCCCTCCATCCATTTAACCAGTCTGGCAGAACAGGCCTTTTGACCTCAGACCAGGTCCACAGCCGCTCGGCTCTGCCCCTGAGGTTGCATTTGCACTATCGAAGTACACCGCAGTGGTTCCCGATTTAGCTGCTGTACTCACTTCAAAAACAAGAGTTGTATTTGTATTTTATTGTACTTGTAGATTTTGTTTCTCCTGCAGATTGTGCACTGTCGCTGCCTGTTGGTTACTGTAACTACTGGAGGATTAAACATAAATAGTTTGTAGGAAAGTGTTGGTTTGACCAAAAAATGTTTACAGATTGATAGACACAGATGTAAAAAGTAACCAGAAGTTGTTTATCTACATAATAAAAAAAGACAGTGGTTATATCATTATTAGAAGCATTAGTTTAGTTGCTTGGTAGTTGCAGTAGCTTGCAGGTTATCATACAATACACCCCATGTCAGTTGAAATTCACTAGGATGCTCTTACATCCTTTTACAACAGCTGCACTGGAACCAGTGGGTGTGTGATAAAATCTGATCTGACAGTCTTGTGCACTCGAGGTTGAATTTAGTCTTACTGTGGCCATATTTAAAACTCTGTGCAAGTCAAACATATTTTTCTATGAGGAAATATTGTAAATAGAAATATTTTCAATGTATGTTTTTGAACCTTTTGTTGTTTGACTTGTTGAATGGTTGATTTTTGCCTTAAATTGTATTTGATGTTGTGTAGAGATACAAAACTATTTGATTTGGTTGACCAAAGTATTGAGTTTTACTGTTACTTCATGACAAAGTGCATTTTATCTTGTTGATATTTTGCTTTGAAATGTTCCAGATACTGTATATGTGTGTGTGCGTGTGTGAGTGACTGTCTAGTTGTTTGTTGTGGAGTTGTATTTACTGTGAACATAAAGACAGCTATGACAGGTCCATGCCTCTGCAGAGGAATCAGAGGACACGGTGAGGCCAGTGTTAACATACCCGCATGTTCTCACTGCAGCTCACTACTGCCGGCTTTTTAGGACTGAGCGTGTGTTTTATAGGTTTGGATTGAAGCAGTGTGTCAGCGGATTACTTAGTTGAGGTTTTTATGCCTGCTATGAAAGAAAAAGGGCTTATGAGTTCTAAGGGTATCTTGATTTAACTTAAAACCTGCATGGCTGAGTGGGACGTGCTAGCCAGGAGGGAGCTGTCTTGTCTTTTCTTTCACCGCCTCCACACCATAGGTGGTACAGTAATTAGCTATTTGATTACTACTAAGTATGTATGACTCCCTGTAGTGACGCCCCTGTAATTGCAGTGCACCGATTAGCGTTACTTGGTAATTGTACGATATTGTAGAAACAGTACGGAAATACTTAACTCCATCTCATTTTGCATTTAGGTTGTTAATACTAAAATATTCTTATCCAAGCAACAGAATGATCACTCTCATCAATGTATACACAATAATCAAAGTGACTCCGTAAGTCTGTATAAAACACATAGTGATATTTTTCTGCCATGACGATGCACTGGAGGAGTGAACTATATATGCTGGGCAGCATTTTGGTGTAACAATGTTAGTAAATGGCAAATGATGATCTAATGGTTAAATGGTGATTGTTCTGTGCATGTTAATTATTTGATATTGTTAAGTAATGGCTATCAGTTTGTCATGTTTGTGGTACTCTTTGATAATTAAGTCGTTATTTGTAAATAAGGGGTGAATGATGATTAATGGACGGAAATTCAACCACCTTTTGTTGAATAAACTGCAAATCAGTAACTTTATAATACAACCCCGATTACAAAATAGTTGGGATGATGTGTGAAATGTAAATAAAAACAGAATGCAATGATTTGCAAATTCCTTTTGACATATATTCAATCAAACACAGTACAAAGACGAGATATTTAGTGTTTAAACTGATCAACTTAATTGTTTTTTGCACTTATTCTGATTATGATGCCTGCAAGATGTTCCAAAAAGGCTGGGACAGGGACATGTTTACCACTGTGTTACAACACTTTTTTTTTTTTTTTTTAAACACTCAGAAGTTTCACATCCAGCCCCCTTAAAATCTTCAAGATTTAAAGACTGTCTGTGAGGAAGAATGAGCCAAAATCCAATTTCTTCATACAGGCAGCATCTTAAAACTGGCATTGCAAATGTGTTCATTACTTTTATCCTGTGGCAGACCATGTTATTGCACACAATTTTTATTCATTAAAATGTTATGATTTCTTTATCAGTGTAGTTTTATTTAATTAATACCAATGTCTGGTCTAAGTTTCATGTGAATAGCTGCATTGGAAACATGATTAATGAAAAAAATGTTGCTTATTTTCCATGCTTTATGTCAAAAAGGATTTGCAAATCATTACATTCCTTTTTGTATGTTTTACACAGCATCCCAACTTTTTCTGAATCAGGGTTGTAAATAACTGAGTTTTTAATGGTATAAATATTGTAAATGAGGCAGGGCATTATCAATAAAGATTGTAAATTACCTCTTACTTTTACCTCAGATGTTCACTCGTGTAGTGGGATTAATGGAAACTAATTAAATTCCATCTTTACTTTAATCTTAGATACTAAAGGTGAATAATCCAAATAGCACAGAAAAAAAAAATCATACAATGTAGAAATATTGTATATTTAAGTGTTACACAATTACTGTCCTCAAATTAATATAATTAACTGCTCACTCAGTGCTAATTAATGTTGTCAAATGATTAGTATTCACCAAATCATGACTTAACTATTGGGTATTGACCTAATTTGCCATTTATTAACAAGATTTATGAAGTAAACATTAGCAAGTTAACTAACATGGCGTGTCAGCCTCTTTTGGGGAAAAAAACAAACAATTTCATTTATTTTTGTGGGTTTATTTTTGGTCTTATGAGTATTTGACACTGGCCTTTTGACTACTGAGGATAAAACACCTGGTTTCACTGATACAAAGTTTATCGTTTTGTACAGATCTCCTGTGATGATGAACATGTTACTGTGTTTATTGGACTCAGTCCATATTTCATGATTACATAAATAAAGATATTTCACAGTTGAAGAATTTAGTTTTGCTCCAGGAGTGTGTGTTAATATTCCCTCCACACGCTCCTCATCTCCAGAGATGGAAGCTGAATCACCTGCGATAAGCCTTATTTTATTTACTTCAAGGTCAGAGTTTTACTGTCGGGGTATCACACTTGACTGCAGGATCCTCTTATTTGGATTTTGTAAAGCTGACAGGGTTACAGCCAAACCTCACTCCACCTTGCCTTTTTTTCCACCACTCACTAAACTATCTGACCTCACTGCTGCCTTAATTTAGCACTGATTACAAACATTAGGGAGACTGGCTTTTACAGTAGCGGTGGCCTTATTCTGCCTCACGCAATCATCAGAGCAGCACTTCTGCTTAACCAATAAATGGCTACAAGCTGGTGCTGATTGCTGGAAATAAAACCACTCATCCATTCCTAGCCTAGTGCTTCACCACAGACTGCAGTGTTGATAGAAGGAGCCGCTGATTTCAGCCATGCACAAATCTGGGTTGCTTTTTTCCTTAATGCTGTTTATTTTCGACCCTGCAAACAGCTGACAACATCATCTCACCATTAAGTCCATTTCATAGTGTGGAGATTATTTTGTTGACTGCTGTTTCCAAGGTCAAGAATAAACTTTCAGGCTAACAGATAAGTTCTGCTGAAAAGAGTCTGCATGTCTGCAGCCATGTTAGCATCTCTGTGAGGCTGTAGGGGAGACTGGAGATTGTTGTAACAGTTTCAATTTCAACAACCAGAAACAAGCTACACTGCACATACTTTGCGTCGTCCTTATTCCTTTATTCGAGGAATTAGCACCCTGTGGCAGACAAGTATATAAGAAAAAAAGATATGATGAAAATTCTGTCTGTGTGTCTGTTCCACGTTTTTCTCCTCACTGTCTTGGTCAATCCATGTGAAATTTGGCACAGTGGTAGAGGGTCATGGGAGGATGCGAATGAAGCAATATTACATCAATTGGCCAAAGGGGGATGCTATAGCAACCGATTGAAATTACAAACTTTGAATGGGCATACCTCATGCCCCGTATGTCGTAGAGATATGAAACTTTACACAGAGATGCCTCTCCTCATGAGGAACAAATTTACCTCAAGAACCCATAACTTCCGGTTATATAGATTTTCCGCCATTTTGAATTTTTTGAAAAACACTTCAAATCGATCTCTTCCTAGGAAGTTTGACCGATCTGCATGAAACTTGGTGAACATAATCTAGGGACCAATATCTAAAGTTCCCTCTTGGCAAAAGTTGGAAAACTTACTAAAACCGAGCTTCTATAAGGCAATGAATATTGCGGAGGGCGTGGCTCATCACATAAAGGTGTATAACATCTCAAGGGTTTCACCGATCACCATGCAACTTTGTAGGCATATGACCACACATAATCTGAGGGGACCCCTCCATTATTGACTCGATCAAACAAAATGGGGGCGCTAGAGAGCTAATTTCTTATCTAGGCCTAACCATATCAATTTTTACTAAACTTGGTAGATATGTAGAACAGGAAGCCTCAAGGTGGCTGGAGAAATTTAACTCTAATTGGCAACTGGGTGGCGCTATAACAACAGAAAAATGCTTAAAAATGGCTAAAATGCGACCAATCTCTGTGGCTCCCTCTGTGGCCGAATGTTTTGTTTTTTTTCCTAATTTTTGGTATGACTAAGTCATGGTATGGTATGCTGTACATAATCACGGAAACTGTCAGTGTGTCATTCTGTCAGTCAGTCATTTTGTCTGTCCCACGTTTTCTACTCACTGACATGGTCAATCTATGTGAAACTGCACATAGGCATTGAGGATTGGCATAGGTAGAAGGTGACAAAGCTACCAATGGGTATGGACTAGTAGTAATTAGAATATTAAATAAAGAGCTTTAAACATCTTAAGTTTTTCTTGTAATCCTCATTTTCATAATGTTACATTTCACTATGGGGTGAACTGTAACGTTTACTCCTTGTCTTTGAGACTAAACCATGCGTTGTCTGTTTGCGTTAAGGCCCAGACACAACTGACTTCAAACCATTAGTGATGACAAAGACCGTCATCACATCACATCTCTGCCTGTGTCTCAGCCAGAAAGTTGCACCTGAACTCACTGCAAAGACTACAGCCAACAGCCAACTAGCAGGTACGTTTTGCACCTATGTTAGAGGAAGTAACTCTCCATACCAGCAGGCGGCGGTAGTCGGTATTTGTCATTCAAAGTTGGAAAAGATCGACAGGATGGATTCAAGATACTCGTTAGCCAGTGAGCACATTAACAACACAAATGGATTTTGAAAGAACAAAGGATATTGTCACAGTCTGCTTCTCTCCCTTGCCTGCCCTTGGTAAATTTCCATTCACCTGCACCCTGCTAGCAAGCCATGCCCCCCTCATCAAGACAGCTCCTCTCACCTGCCTCCACAGGTGCAGCTCATCAGTCAATCACCCGGGTATATAAGCCTCTCCAGCGCACAGACACACACACTCTTTGCCAGATTGTTCTTTGACTACATGCAAGACATTCCAGCACTCACCCTGCTTGGTCCTGACCTGCCTCCGTTGTCTCTACCCGGGTAATTACTAATTACCTCAGCCTTCTGTCTCTGATTCCTGCCTGCTCCCTTCCTGGTTCCCGTCTGCTTGGCGCAACACCAAACCTGCTTACCTCAGTTCTCCTGATTTGGCTAGCTACATTAGACTTCACTCCACTACAAGCCGTACTCACGGTACAGTCCACAGTTCTCGGACTGCTCTCAAGTATTGCCTGCCTGCTCTCGCCACACTCCCTCACCACTGGAGCTACAAGCAAGCTGAACTCAAAGACCCCTGAACTTTTGGATATCTGTGTGAGCAATAAAAGTCATTACCAACTGTCTGCATGCCTCATTGTGCTGTATTTGGGTCTGCACTCGACCCCTGATAGATATTTATGTCCCATCAAACGATAACACAAACAATTATGAACCGAGTATTTTTTTCTATTTTTCGGAGTAATTTATTTATTTTTCTGTTTTTTGGTGTAATTTTTTCTGTTTTTCTGAGTAATTTTTTCCCTGTTTTTCTGAGTAATATTTTCTGTTTTTCGTGGTAATTTTTTTGTTTTTTGGGGTATTTTTTTTCCTGAACGAAGAGACGAGATACTTCAAAATAAGCTGACAAAATGCTGACAAACGTGTATGGGCATGATTTCAATAATGTTGTTACAACCTGTTACTAACCTGTTACATTGAGCGATAGGCCTACACTAGAAGGATGCAGTTGAAAACATAGCTAGATTATCATACCCTGTGTGTAACTAATTACGTGCCCTACCCTTATTGATCCCGTAGTTGAAATTGTCTAGGAGCAGGAGCACGGATGCAAAATACATCCATGAGAAGGAGTCACCATGGATGCAGGGGTCACTTGCAGGTGCCAGGTGGGAGCTTCTCGCGAGATTTTGAAGTGTCTCGTCTCCTCGTTCAGGAAAAAAAATTACCACGAAAAACAGAAAATATTACTCAGAAAAACAGAAAATATTACTCAGAAAAACAGAAAAAATTACACCAAAAAAACAGAAAAATGAATAAATTACTCAAAAAAACAGAAAAAATTACTCAGAAAAACAGGGCTTTTTTATTTGTCAAGTGAATGAAATACGCTTCCATACGTAAGAGCTCAATGACAAAAAAAAAAATCCTTATATTACAAGTTTATTTTTGATCTCACTCCCTCCTGTCTTTAGATGTTTCTTTGCTTTCCTCACTTCCGTTTTTGTTCATGTCATGTGCTGAGCTGAACTGCCAGTAAAATTGGTTTTATTAACCGACAGGCTCTGTCATCTACAACACTGATTACACATGCTGAATCGAGCAAAAAAAGGTGAACCAAGGGCCAACAGTACTGCAAAGCTTTGGTAACCGATTCACTGACAGCTCGACATTGACCTACGGTCAACTGCCAGCTTGGAGTGTCAGGGCCTTCACAGAGATTACAGCTGCACCATTTAATAGCACACACTGGTTTGTGTCATTTTTTGAGTGTATTTGCAAAAAAAGAGCTTCAAAATACAGACAGAAATGTAAAAAAAATTACAACCTTTCACTCTCTCCCCTGCTTGGAATAAATGCTAATGTCAGAATGTTAACATGCTGATATTTAGCAGGTATAATGTTGACTATGTTTGCCATCTACGTTTAGCATGTTATGGTGTATGTGCACATTAGCACTAAATATAATGTATAGCATTTGTTTTGTAGGTAGTTAGTCAGAAAACAAAATACTAACCAAATTGACTGTTTTAACAGAAAGGTCTTGAATCACCATTATTACACTTAATCACAGGGGAAACCAGTTTATGCTATAATGCATTAACCCAACCTAGTAATTCACTGGAAACAAGCTTTAGCTGTTCAAATGTTTTCCAGCATTTTCAAAAGATTGAGTTGAGGCAGGTCATTATGTAAAATACATTAGTGCCAGAAGCATGTTGGGTATTCATCTGTTGAGCCTGCAGCTGGTTAAACTGTCTACATTTTCCCCAGATATGTCCCTCATTTAAAAGTTCACTGAACAAATCCTGAAAATATGACTATTTTTATCAAATTGATGAACTGCCTGGATCACAGTGAAGGTGACGGGGACAATGACCTCTATCTTGGATCTGGGTAAAGAGTTTTATTCTTGCCCCAGGCATCCACTATAATGAGCTGGAGATGTGATCCTCCGAGCCACATTTAAACATCATTAGTAGCATATGGTCTGGGAAAACAGGCAAAGAAATTGCTCCCCTGCTAAAGGGAGGACTGCTGGTTTCTTATACTGCAAGATTCACATGAAAGATAATTGAAGGCAGCCACAGTGAAAGCTGCGATTTAAGTGATTAAAACTTAGCAACTGTTTCTAGCTCACAGCCCTTATTTGTGTCTCTATTTTCTCCATCGTTATGCTCATTTGTGTGGAAGAAATCAGTGTTTAAATTGAACCTTTTCAAAAGTCTCCTGTAGTTATTCATTTTTTACCCTATAAATCACTTGAGCTGATCA